GGCGGCGGGGGTGTCAGCCACCTCTCCCGGGCCACCGTGCTGGGCCGACAGCGTGCCTGCCGGGAGGGCCTGGCTTCGGCCGCTGTCCCGGAACCCGGTCTTGGGGCTGTTTGTGCTCTGTCCCATCTCGTTCCCCTTTGCTTCCAGAGGGAAACCGAGGCACAGAGGAGTGGTACCCAGTCCTGGGGAGTCAGGCCCAGAGCCCAGGCCTCCAGTGCAGCACACTGGGGTCCTTTCCCCGCGGGACTCAGGAAGGACGAGGTGCTGTGGTTTCCCTTTTCCACAGCTTGTTCCTGGGGTGTCAGCCTTCTGCCCTGGGAGAATCTCCTCTGACTCCCCCAGCGCTGCTGCGCTTGGCTGTGCGGCTCTGGGGCGATCGCAGGGCTGGGGCTCATATTCCCCTCACGCCTCTCCCCACGACCGGGGAGCAGACACCGGCTGGGCTGCCTGGTGGCCCTGAGCAGGCGGAGGGCCAGGGCTGACCTGCCAGTTCACCGCGTACCTGCAGCGGCTCCCGGGCTCAGTCACCAAGCACCGCGGTGTTGGAGATGCCCTCTCTGCAGGGAAATCCCAGGAACACCCCAATCAGAGAAGGGAAGACCCCCCTCACGCCCCTCCTTCACCTCCTTCCCCTTCCCCCACCCCTGCGGCTGTCAGATCCTCCCAGCCAAGCTCAGAGGTCAGACCGGACTCACAGGCAGGCGAGGGTGGATGGATGTCCGGCCTGCAGGCTCTCTTAGGCCAGTCCGGTGAACTGAGGCCCTGGGGGTGCCCCTGTGGGCAGCGGGGGGCACAGCGAGCTTCTGCCCGCTCAGACAGCTCAGCTTGGGGCACAGGCATCACGCAGCTGTGTGTGCCCAGCTGGGGTGACCTCCGACACCGTCACCCTGCTTCAGCCTCAGACGGATCAAAGAGAGGGGTGCCCTTACTATCCGTGTCATCCTCCCAGGGAAACTGAGGCTCGGAGCCGTGAAGAAACTCGCCCGAGGTCACACACTGTGAGGGAGAGAGCTGTCTGCCTCTCTGCTCTGCTGCGTGACTCCCAAGACCCCTGTTTCAGAAATGCCCCCCTGTGCTGAGCCAGGCCCAGCCTGAGAACAGGGACTCTGGGGTTCAGAGCCATGGGGTGTGCAGAGCGCTACTTGGGGGCCGTTGGTCAGGGAAGAACAGACTGTGCGGCAGTGGAGGGGCCCAGGCCCAGACCCTGGGTGATGGGATGTAGCTGGGTGGAGGGGCCCAGGCCCAGGCCCTGGGTGATGGGATGTAGCTGGGTGGAGGGGCCCAGGCCCAGGCCCTGGGTGATGGGATGTAGCTGGGTGGAGGGGCCCAGGCCCTGGCCTGGGTGATGATGGGATATAGCTCTTTCACCCTGTCCCTTGTGTTACAGCCAAATGCTAAGTGCATCTAAGCTGGGCTGGGCCCCAGGCGAGGCCCCACCCTCTCTGGGCTGCAGCTGTTTGCTGGTCTGAGCTGATGGGCTGGGCGGAGGTCCTGTCCCTTCCTCCCCAGCCCTTTGACCTGTGGCTGGAGCGAAGCAGAGACTGGCAGCTGGGCCAGGGGTCCTGGCCTCCTGCCCCGGCCCTAATCCTGTGTGTCTGGGCCTGAGCACCTGAGCGGGGGCAAGTGGGGACAAGTGCCGAGGGGCCCAGGGCCCAGGGCTGGAGGGGCGGTGGGCACTGCCGAGTCTGCCTGGAGGGCTGTCTGGGGGGAAGTGAAGGCCTGTGCACACCCAGCCCAGGCCGGCCCTCAGCCCTGCCCCTCGGGGCGTCCCGCCTGGCGTGGCCTCGCCCAGGCCTGGAGGAGGCTCTGGTCCGCATGGCGCCCCAAGGGAGGTGGTGGGAACTGAGCAGAACTGATTTCTTTCGTTTATGGAGGGGTGAAGTGTCCACATTTTTTTTTTAAATCCTCACAGAAGGATATTTTTCTATTTATCTCAGAGCGGGAGGGAAGGAGAAAGAGAAACATTGACGTGAGACACATCGAATGGCTGCCTCCCGCACTACCCCAACCAGGGCCAGGGACCGAACTGCAACCGAGGTACACGCCCTTGACCAGAATTGAACCCACCACTCTTGGGTCTGCGGGCCGACGCCCTCACCGCTGAGCCAAACCGGCCAGGGCTGAAGTGTCCACATTTGATACCTGGAGACCCCACCGCAGCTCGGCCTTCTCAGAAACGTCTGACCCGTGGCAGTGTCCAGCCCTCATGGCCCCAGAGGGACCAGAGGGAGGTGTAGGCTGAGGACAGTGGTCACCCCGAGCACCTGCCTCTCTGTCCTAGGAGATGGGAAGGCGCAGGGGACACTGAGGCAGGTCCGTGCCCTGCTGGAGTTCGTGCGGCACAGCGGGGACAGACCACAGAGGACATAACTCAATGACGTGGGCAGTGTGTCCTGTGGTGGAAGCAGGAGGGAGAAAGGAGGCTGGGAGCAGAGCTAGGGACTTGGGGTAGGACAGACCAGACCTCGCTGGGAGGTGACGGGACACAGACTGCAGGAGGGAGGGACCCTCCTTGAGGCCTGGTAGACTGGGGGGCCTCCCCGCTCCCCGAGGCCTGGTAGACAAGGGGCTGGTGTACAAAGTGCCTCCAGAGCCAGGACTGGTTTGCGGGGTCGTGGGCCCATTCCACAGATGAGCGGGCGGAGGCAGAGAGCAGCTTGGAGGGCTGTCTGTTTCACCAGGCTGGGCGGGGCCGAGTGCGGGCTCCACAGAACCGGCCTGCAGACGTGTGTGTACACAGTACCTGCCCACAGCGCCCCCTGAGCCTGGGGTAGGGGGAAGGGGGTGAAGTCACGAGCCGCTGCCCCGGGGCCCTCCATTCCCCTGGCGGGGACCTCGTGGGGCTCCCAGAACCTGGGCGTCCAGGGCCCCTGCAGGCGCCCTCCCCCGGCCGCTCACCTAAACGGAATTGGATGAGGGAGACCACGGAGTAGCAGAGTTAAGGGCTCGCTCAGGAGAGCGAACCCCCAGCCGACCCAAAGCCCGCGTGTGTGCTAAGAGGAAGCCACGCCAGGGGAACCGGTGCAGGCCTTTGAAGAGGCAGCTCGGAACCTGGACAGACAGGCAGAGGGAGGAGGGTTGTCAGAGGCCCTCCCTGACCCCGGCCTGCGGAGAGCTGCCCACTCCGGGTGGGGTGATCCCTTTAGGAAGTTCAGGGATGAGAAGACTGAGGCGGAGCCAGGATGTGAGCACCAGCCCCTTGGTGCAGGGAGCGTGAGGGTCAGAAGCACAGGGCCCGACTCTTGGCTCCATTTCCCGTAGGCTGTGTGACCTTGGCCAGTTACTGAACCTCTCTGGTCTCTGCTTCTGCCTCTGGGAAATGGGATGATAATGGTGTCTTTCTCATGGTGGTTGTGGAGGTGAGGACTGAAGTCCAGCCGAGTTCTTGGGGCACGTGGGAAGCCCTCTATAGGGGGCCACTGGTCACTGTCCTTAGACCACAAACACACGGGGTGCATTGGCTGAGCTTAGTTGCTGGATCCCAGGCTTGGCGTGAGGTGAACTGAAGGAAGGGCCTGTGGGGACCTTACCCACCTGCCATCCACAGGTAGCTTGGACGGGGGAAGGTGGGTGAGCTCAGGGCCACAGGGTCCTGGATAGCATGTCAGCTCTGCATGGCTGGGCTCCTGGGAGATGCGTCATTCACCTCCTGGCCCCTCGCAGGCCAGCCACCTGTGACCAGCGACGTCCCAGGACACTGGCCCATCACACAGTTGCAAGTGTCCCCCAGACCTGGCCAGAGGAGGGGCTGCAGCTCCATCCTGTCCCAGAGGGGGACTCCCCCCGGCAGACAGACAGCCTGTAGGGCCCGTCCTGGGACCGTGGCTCGGGCACAGCCCCCCATTCGCAAGTCGATCCGTCACTCACAGTGGTCTTTTGGAATCTGACGGAGCTGCCTTCCCGTGGCCACATCTGGGCCCTCGGGTCAGGGGCAGCATGGTCACCAGCCCTTTGCTGTCCTCGCAGGCTGACCAGCGGGTCCTGGCCCCGCCAACATGCACCAGCATTGAGGAGTGTGGAACCCAGGCCAAGCACACCTGTTGTCCTGGGGCAAAGGTCGGGGCCTGGGGCATTTACCTACGCGCTCAGGTGTGGCCTCTTGGACAAGAGCACCCGCTCAGGTCCCGGCCCACACAGGCTGGGCACCTCTCCTCTTGTTCCCCAGGGCTGAGCTGAAGGTGGCCGCTTGGCCTCACCTGCTGCGTGCCAGCCGAGTGCGGGGCACGAGACACACCCAGGGGGCTCTGGTGTGTGGGGTGACGGATCACACACGCGCGCGCGCGCGCACACACACACACACACACACACACACAAGAAACAGCGGGTGGCTAACGCAGGCAGGGAGCGTGAAGTCAAGGAAGGCTTCCTGCCGGAGAGGAACTGGGGCGGGGCAGACGGAGGGGGCGGCTGGGCTCCTGGGGCAGGTCTGCCCGGGAATGAGGACACAGCAGAGGGCGTTGGAGAGGCTCGGTTTATTCCCCACTTGCACAGCCAGACCTGGGGGCCCTGAGCTGGGTTTGCTGGGCCCAGCAGACCAATGGGTGCGGCCCCTGCGGGAGAAGCTCTTGGACATCTGTCCCCTTGAACCGTGTCGCTGTCCCCACAGGACGAGTCTGATCACTGCGAGTCTGCAGGTGCGAAGACTCGCTCACCACCGAGTCCCTCCACAGCCCCAAAGCCCCTCCGGGCCCCTGGGCACATTTCCCTGCCGTGTAGGGGCAGTGCAGCTCTGCCCGTGCCGGTGCCCAGGGCAGCGGGATGTCTGGGGCACCCCTGGGAGATGTGGTCAAAGCCCCAGCCTCCCCAGAAAGGCTCACAGACGCTCACACTGCACCCACACCTTCAGGGCCACCCCCAAGGACCCCGGTGGAGAGCTGTGGCCTGAGCAAGTGCTGGTGGCTGTGGATGAGACCCAGCCCCCACCCCAGCTGTTTGACTCGAGGGTGAGTCCCCCTGTGACGGCCCCTCTCCCCACCCTCAGCCCCCCATCACCCCAGCCAGGGTGCCGCCTGGCTCCCAGCTCTGGTGCTCATCAGGAGAGACAGGGGGCCCCATTTGTCAGCCCGTCCCAGTGCCAGGGCTGAGCAGGGGGGCAGGGTCGTGCCCACAGCTTGTTCCACGGGAGACACCTCCAAGGGCAAACGCACGGCCCCATGGTTCGGTGGGGTCAGAACCTCAGCCCTCTGCAGCCTCCCCGCCCAGAGCCTCCCTGCTCGTCTGTGAAATGGGAGCAGGGACAGCACCCACCTCGGGGGTTTCCGCAGGGCTCAGGGAGAGAAGGGCTCCCGGGGGGCGCCGCTAGGCAGGGGGCGGCTGGCGGCCGCAGTCGCTCGAGCCGTCGGCGTGGAAGGGCGCCACCTTCCACATGTAGCGCTGACAGTGCTCCAGGGCGTTGCACATCTCGGCCGCCTCCGGGCTGGCGCACCAGAAGCTGGGGCCCATGACGCACTGGTCGGTGCCCAGCAGCGGGGTCCGGGGCGCGTGGCAGGCGCCCACCTTGGCGCACAGGGCGGCGGGGTCCATCATGTCCCGGAGGGAGGCGATGAGCACGGGCTCGTACTCGTCCACGAAGCGGTTGCACTGGATCATGTAGGGCAGCGGCAGGATGCGGCAGCCGCCCTTGAAGACCTGCAGGATGCCGCGCTTGGTGCTCTTGCGGTCCAGGTCGTGGGAGGACACGCCCAGCAGCCTCTGGCACCCTCTGCAGAAGCTGCCCTGGTTGTTCCTGTCCAGCAGGGGCGGCAGGGTGGTGAGGTGGGGCTCGCGGAGGGCCCGGGCCCGGCGCCGTCTGCCGCAGAGCCGGACGATCTCACACACCCTCTCGGGGGGCACGGTGGTCACGAACTCGATCAGGGCGGGGCTGTAGTTGTCCACCATGGTGACGCACTGCCGGACGATGGACGCGGGCATCACGGAACACACGCGCTCCAGGGCCCGGCTGATCATGGCCTCCGTGCTGTTGGCTTCCAGCCACCGGTCCAGCTCCTGGATCACCTGCAGGCACACCTCACAGGTCAGGCCGGCCTCCATCTGTACCTGGTTCCTCTTCCCTGAGGACAGCGGCTCCAGGGAAGGGACCCTGCCTCCGGGGGGTCCCCGCAGCTCCTCGCAGAAGCCCCCCTTCTCGCAGGTCTCCTCGGGCAGGACGAGCCTCAGCATGTGCTCCGCGGGGTTGAGGGACTGGAGGATGTAGTCCTTGCAGAGCAGGGCCAGGCCCGGCTCCAGCGACTTACACTGCTCCTGCGCGGTCACCTCTGCCAAGGCAGACACGTTGGACCCGACGGCGCCCTGGAGCCGGGTGACCAGCCGGACACAGTCCTGGCACACTGCGTCCTCCGGAGTCTGTGGAAGGTGGAAGCTGAGGGGGCCACTGGCCATGAATGGGGCCACCAGCTCGGATGTATCCTCCTCAGAGAGTGGCCCCGGGGTGGCCGGGAGCCTCTGCAGTGGCTGGCAGAGGGTGAGGGCCGCGCACACCTGGCCCGGGGGGCTGCCTGGGTCCCCCCAGAGCATGTTCAGGATGGCCGAGCTGTGGGCGTCCACCATCTCCTTGCATTTGGCCGAAGAGTCCTGGCTGGGAAGCCACTCACAGGTCTTCGTCACCAAAGCCAGGATGTCGGCGTCCGAGGTGTTGGGGTTCAGCCCGTTGCCGGCAGCAGCCACCACATCCAGGCAGACGTCGCAGGGCAGGGTCCTGGCGGTTGGCTGGCTCCAGACGGCACCCTGGCAGTGCCTCACAGCCCCGCACCTTGCCGCTGCCTGCAGGTCCCGACACCACTCCACCGAGCCCCGGGCACACTCCTGGGGGCCCTGGATGGGGCTGGCCAGGGCGGCCCCCAGGAGGCTGGGCAGGAGAAGCAGGGCAGGGTGCATGCTGCTTGGTGACCCACCCGGTGGCTGCAATGCGCCCAGCACCCTGGCCGCTGCTATAAACCTGCCAGGCCCCTGGGTAGTTGTACCAGGGCCCCGCCCGCAGGGCCGCCTCCCGAGGGCCCCGCCCCGCAGCCTGACTCATACCGAGACTTCCCCACACAGGCCTCGTGCAGAGCCTTCTGCTTGGCACGCCCTTCGCCCCTCCTTCCCCCGGGTGCACTCCGCAACTCAGAGACCCCTGTCCTGGGAGGCCCTCCTGCCCTGGCGGCTGCAGCCGCTTCCCGGGGCTCGGTCCTGTCCTGAGCCGTGGCTGAGACCCGGGAATTTCTGCCCCTCTGGGAGGGACAGGAGGGTGTCCCATCCTCTTTGCTAGAACTTTAAGTCACGTCAGTGACTGTCTAAGGACCACGGCTGCTGTTCTCTACATATTGTCTGAAACGGGAGCCGCCCGGTCTGCCCTGGCCCTGCGCTCCGACTGTGTGGGCGGGAGGTGGTCTCGGGAGGTGGTCTCGGGAGGTGGTCTCGGGAGCCGGCCGTCCGCAAGGAGAGCGCCCACCGGCCTCTCAGGGAAGTGGGTTTCCTGCTGCTGGCACCTGGCCAGGTGTGGGCGGGTCCTCCCTGGACCCGAGGATGTGGGGAGGAAGTTCACTGGCCCAACAGAGGCTCTTTCGTTCCTGGGTCACATGTTTTCTGCCTCAGTGGCTGCGTTGTCAGGCCGGAGAGCCAGGGCCGGCAGACACACAGGTGTCCTGCGTGGGGCCTGTTTGCTAAGGGGAAATCCCCGAACGGTGCCCTGGCCTGGTTTCCATGGGCCACTGCCCACACTGGGCCCCACGGGGGCCTGACGGCAAGGGGCTGCCTGGGGCCCCGAGCCCCTGGTGGTATGTGCCCTCATGGGGTGCCCTGGCTTGGATTCGGGGCTCCGAGAGCACAGTGGGAGCACCCAGCTGTGTGGGTCGGGTGCCCGGGCCTGAGCCACAGCCGCCCCGTGGAGGAATGTGGACAGGGCTGTTCGTCGGCCCGCACCCTGGGGTGCAGGGCTGGGAAAAGGGAGTTTGCTGAGCTCCTCACACCACTTCCGAGGACCCCGGGTCCTTTGGGCCCGAGGTGGGGCCAGCCTCAGGGATGGAGCACGCTGGGCCCCCTCGGCTTCTAGACAGCAGCTGCCGGACTTCATCGCCGCCAAGAGGGGCTGGAGACGTGGCGCCCGTGCCTAGCTGTGCCCGGGGGAGGATGCTGGTTCATGTCACCAGCCCGTTGTCCTCCATGGACTGTGGGCGCAGGGCCCTGCTCCAAGGTGGCAGTGGCGCTGTGCTGGGGCCTGGCCGGGAGCCCCTACCCTCCTGCTGGCCCCTCACCCTCCAGCCCCGTGGCACTGCCCCAGGCTCCTGCCACGGATGCCGCCCCTCCAGAGGCCCGGAGCAGTCCCCAGCCTAGTGTCCGCGGATGAAATACTGAATGTGTTTCTCATTTTTAAAAAGTTGCCCTGGCCAGCCCTGGCCGGTTTGGCTCAGCGGTTGGAGCGTCGGCCTGCGGTACAGAGAGACCCGGGTTCGGTTCCCGCTAAGGGCACGTACCTCGGTTGCAGTTTGTCCCTGGCCCTGGCTGGTCGTGCGGGTGGCAGCCACTCGATGTCTCCCTTTCACGTCGATGTTTCTCTCTCTCCCTTCCTCCCGCTCTATCTGAACAAAAAATGGAAAAATGTCCTCGGGTGAGGATAAAAACAAAACAAAAAAAAAGTTGCCCTGGCCTGTTTGGCTCAGCAGTTAGAACATCGGCCCGCGGTCCAGAGAGACCGGGGTTTGGTTCCTGCTAAGGGCATGTACCTCGGGTGCAGTTTGTCCCCGGTCCCGGTTGGGGTCGTGTGGGTGGCAGCCACTCGAGGTGTCTCTCTCACATGGATGTTTCTTTTCCTCTTCCTTCCTCTTTCTCTAAAATCAGTAAAGGAAAAAAAAAGTACATAGGAGCGTTTCCTTTTGGACTTTCTCATTTTTAACGTTTTATCGACTCGTTTCGTGGGCACAGACGCGGGCACGTTCTGAGCGTTGAGCTGGGGCAGGCGCTCGGGCCCAGGCAGAACGGCGACAGCTCCCGGCGCACCTGCCCGTCGCCCTCGGCCCCTCTGCCTGGGACCGCACGCGGCCACGCGTGTCTGACTTCACGTCCGTGAGATTCGGCCCTGCTGCGGCGTGGGGTTGTGGGGCGGCTCGTTCTCTGTAGAAGCCCCTTGGGTGCTTGCCCCCCAGTTTGTTTTCCTGTTCTTCCCTCTATGGGTGTGCGGGTCACTGCCAGCTTGGGGCCGCGTGGGGCCCTCCGTGTTAGGAGGCACCGTGTTCCCACCTCTGCTGGGATTTGTCAAGGAGCAGAAAGGCTGGGGTCGGCGTGCAGGCCCCGAGTTGACCCACGTGGCGGTCACACCTGTGCCAGCCCCACGGCCCCTGGCATCTATTTTGTTTTATTTTCATATAATTTACAACTTTGAAAGCAGTGGAAAGACAGCCGAGGGCCTGTGCGATCTCTCCGCCACAGCGGCCCGTCTGCTGTGTGGTCCCCCAGCGCCCTCCCTCCTGTCCTTCCTCTTGTCCATCTGTCTCTCCGCACGCGCATCTTCTCCCAGTTCTTCCCCTTAGCCTGTTGAGAGGGGTGGGAGATTGGTCCCTTTCCACCCGGTCTCCCAGCGGCCAGGACACGCTCACATCACCACAGCGCAGTTGTTGTTCTGAGAACTGCGATGTCGGTACCACGGCGCCCTTCACTGCGCCGTTCCGTGGGCGGCGTTCCGTGGGCGGCGTTCCGTGGGCGGCCCCGGCACCGCCTGTGGTCCACGCGGCCGGCACTGGCAGGCTCCGGTGTGGGGTTGTGCACAGTGCCGCTCTGCACATGCTGGGTGACGTCAGACAGCGCGTGTTCCTGTGGGGGCTGCTGGGGGCCAGGGCTTGCGTGCGCTGAGCAGATGCCCCGGAGGCTCTCCTGACTGTCACCCCGCAGCGCCCTCCACGCCGCTCTGACTCCAGCCCTACAGGACACGCAGGACAGGTGTTCCCACAGCTCAGCACACGGCAGAATCGGCTGTTTCTACAGATTCCGCTTTAGAAAGTCATCTGGAAGTTACTTTTCCTTCCCAAGTACAGACAAGCCTGGCTACACTGGGGTGAAGGGGGAGGAGGGGTTTGAGGGGCCCCTGGTCCGGAGCCAGGTGGGGGCGGGGACGCAGAGGAGGTGGGGCCGTGCCTGGAGAGAACCAGGAAGGTTTCGGTGGTCGCCCTCTGTGTGGGCGGAGGGAGCTGGCGCCCGGTGCCCGCTGAGTGATGGACATCTGGCTCCCGCCCCAGCCCGGCGGCTCGTGGCCTGTGCTCGGAATGTCCGCCCACAGAGAGCTCTGCTTTGGGGCCTCCCGGCCCGCCCACCGCCCACTCCCAGGCTGCTTCTCTTCCTCCTGCCCTTCTGCTAGGGACACTCCTGTCCCCTGCCCAGGGCCACCTGCACTGCCCGGCCAGTGGGGACCCCAGGTGGGATCCACACACCACTCATTTCACACATCTGTTTGGGGCCCCAGGCTCGGCGGGAAGAAGACAGAGGCGGGGCGGACATTCAGTGCGGGGACAGGGCCTGAAGGGTACATACCACGTGGGCATCCTAATGCCGGGGGGGGGGGGGGCTGTGCTCTGGAGTCAAGGAAGCAGGAGAAGGGGCGCTGGAAGCCGGGGGCCGGTGCAGCCCCTCTGGCCTGGTGCTGTGAGCACAGCTCTTGGGGAAGTGGGTTCACAGGGGGAGCCCCGAGAGGGGCCCGTGCTGCCCTTGGTGCAGTGGCCAGGAGGCAGGGGGGCCCGGCAACCAGGGAGTGTGAGGCTGGACTGTTCTTGAGCCGCCAAGGCCCTTGGAGGAGTGTGGCTGCTGCTGGGAAGGTGGGCATAGGGCGTATCCGCCTTTGTGAGGTCGGGCAGAGAGCGGCTGGGAGAGAGGGCAGCCCACAGGGAGGGTCCGGGGTCCTCCAGGACAGTACCCCAGCCTGCTGGAGAGCCCCGAGGAGCCGAGCCCGGGCTCCCAGCCGGGCCTGGGTCCGCAGCGTGGAGGCTGAGCGTGGCCTGGGAGCACCAGGCAGGGCGTGGAGGCGGCCGGGACGAGGTGCACGAGGGAGCCAAGTGGGAGGCTGTGAGTCATGCCAACAGGTGTGGGCTCGTGGGCGGGCCGGGCATAGTTAAGGGGCAGGAGCGGGGCGGTGGGATTCCTGAGCAGGGCTGGGGGAGGGGAACCTGGCAGCACCCTGCACAGCATCCTCCCAGCACGAGGTTGGTGGAGGCTGGACTTCACCACCCAACCCCGGGTGGCGAGTCGGCCGAGCCCAGATCAACACGCCCACCCTCCTCCCAGGGCCGGGTCAGCTCAGCTCCCTCCCTCGAGCTGAGACTCGTGGGCCCCGCAGGGCGTCAGGGGCTGGAGGGATTGTTTCACAGATGAGCACGGTGTGTGGTGCCCACGGGGGCCTCCTCACTCCCCCGGGGCCACAGCATCTCCCACTCCGGCTGAACCTGGCGCCCCCCTGGGACGGTCTGGCCTCAGAGGTCAGCCGTGCGGACTCAGTTCACCGAACAACAGAGGAAGGAGGTCATGCCCTCGGCCACGCCAGCCCTGGAGGCCAGAGTCCGAGATCAGGGTGGAGGGAGGGCCGGGGCCTGCGGAGGGTCCTCCCTTGCCCCCTTGTAGGTCCTGGTGGGGACGAGTAGTCCCGTTTCCTGCGTTTGCGCCTGTGTCTTCTCTTCCCTGCCTCCAGCATCCTGCGGTCCTCTCCCTGGCTGTGTGTCTGAGTGCACGTGTCCCTCTCCTTATAAGGACGTCAGTCGCTGGAGAGGGCCCACCCTGTGCCGGGATGACCTCACCGTAACCAGCGACACCTACAGAGGTCCTGCTCCCAAATGAGGTCACGCTCACAGGTGTAGGGACCAGGCCTTCACAGCGCTCAGAGGACATGATCCAGTCCACCAGCAGCATGAGGGTTCTGGGCCCTGCTGACCGT